CTGTACGGTACTTACATAGAACGTGCACACGAAAGCTGTTGGCCATTTGGTAGCCCAGCCTGGCTTAGCCCAGCTTCAGGGATCTTACCAAAGGGTCCTAGTGCCTCGGAACTTCGATCGACCAGGCTCAACACCCAGTCGCTCTGCATACAATACTTTTCTGCTTACCAGGTACCTCGCGCCAAATATATACCGGGGTACTCCGTGCTCTAGAGCTGAGCACTAGGTACGTACCAAATCACACCAGTATGTACGGAGTACTTTGCAGCAATTCGTACCACGCGATACCCTCCTCTTCCCGTCCACTGGCCTCGTATGCGTACTCGGTACGGAGTACACCAGACGACTACCAAGACGGCCACCAGACAGCTCCCAGGTTAGGCCTAGCCCCTCTACTCTCAAGTGAGTTGCTATTAGCCCACCAGTAGCCAGTAGCCTGTGGCCCGTGGGCCGTGGCCCATAACCCAGTGCTAGTGCCCACTGCCCATATGCCCATTGCCCACCCCCAGTCTACACACTCCTCCACTTCGACTGCCATTCTCGTCGACTCGACTTCCACTTCCTCACTTTCGTCCCAATTCTTCACGCACTCTCTTTTTCCTCACCTCTCCCTTTCTTCTGTTTCCGCCTCGACCTTGACAGTATCTCGCTGAGGCACCCTCGTGCGCTCGTTTGGATTTCCACGAACTCGCAACTACGATCGGAAACCCACCCTGGTGGGTGATGCACTGTTGTGTATCCCGATTCTGTCATTCAACTTCAAAAGTTGCTGCGAAGCTGAGGTTCCTTTGCGCGTACAGCTTTCCCGACAGCGCACACCCATCGACACTCACAAACGCCGAGCCAATACCTCTACATCCTGATTAAGGGCCCGGCTCTTCTCCGGACCTGTCGCCTCGATACACACAGTCTGCCTGACCGACGGCTCCAGCGTTTCCTTATGCATTACTCCTACTAGTGTTCCTTGCAGTCACACACCCCAGCTTGTGCCAATTCAGCGCTCAGCAAACCTGTTGCACCCACCGTTTCTACCCACGGGCTATGAACATATTCGGAAGCGTTAGTTGAAAGTGGCAGTTCCTCGACATATTTTGTGCTCAACATCCTCACTCAGTGGCATCTCGACCTCGTCGCTCACGCCAGCTGTCCGAATCATCACTCCACAGCCCTTCGAGCGCTTCTCTACGCGCGAGAGACAGGGACCTTCCCATTTTGTGAATTGGCACAAGGAAAAAGCGAACAATAAGTGATTTGAAACCACCACTAGGCGTGCACAATCGACGTCATGTCAGCGATGGAAACGCAAAGTCATCAGCCCGTTGCGCCTCACAAAGCCGCAGGGCTGAACAATATTCTCAACAACGATGACCGGCCTTCGACCAACGGCCCTCCACTGCAGCTACGGGACTCTGGCTTCTATTCAACAGCCGAGGCTTCCAGCAAGCGTGAGTTGTTCCCGCTGCAATGCTCATTAAACTTTTTTTCTCTTTTGGTTTCGGTTTCGGTTCGGCAGAATCTATGCGTCACCAATCCCCTTCCTCTCTTGGTAGGCTAACACCATTTGACTTTCTAGACACGTCCGCTGCCTCCTTCAGCGTGAACGGCCTGAGCCCGGCAGGGTCTGGATACCAATCGTCGCTTGCAGACAAGACCCCTTCTCCGGTGGCCACCAACTTGGTACCCCAAGCGCTCGTCTCGCCTTCTGCAAGCAACATGAGTGTTGCTTCCATGGTTTCGCCCACATCACCGACCAGTGACCGGAGGTTCGACCGACCGACCTCGATTGAATCCCAAGGACAGAATGGGGCCACCCTTGGTGAGAACCTTGCAGTTAGTGGCGGTCCCAGGCGCGAGAGTGTCGACAGCAGAATCAACCAGGGCATCAGTGACATGCGCCTCGGGTCTTCCCCTTACGCTAGTAATAACCAGTCCACGAGCTCCATTCAAAACACTCTTCACACTCAACGAAATCCTCGACCGGGCCTGGAATCCTTGTCAGTACACAGAATCTCCAATGGCTACCAGCCAAGCGCCGACCGAAACCCTGGTGAGCCCAAAGTCATCAAGACTGCACCAGCGATTACTGGTCCTGCGACTAGTCACATTGCCCGAGCTGCCGAACCGACCAAAGGTCAGGCCTGGGCTTTCCCTGAAGAAGAGATCCAGCGTGTGGGACCACCTGCCCACTACGATGACTCTCGACGCAGCAGCATCACAGAGTCTATCGCTAGCAGCCAATTCACTACCGAGTCACGATTGCCTCCCGGTCAGCGAAGGCTAGAGGATGGGGCCGATTATGCTCGCATGTCGACCGCGTCCAACGAGTTCCCTCCTGTGCATCATCATACTATGCAACACAAGCAGCTGAGCGATCTGCAGGCCGAAGAAGGAAGCGGTCCTCCCGGGTCCCAACCTTATAGTCGGACTCCCGAGTTGAGAGTCAGTCACAAGCTGGCTGAGCGCAAGCGACGAACAGAAATGAAGGAACTCTTCGATCAATTGAGAGATCTGATGCCCCAAGAACGGGGATCAAAGGCATCAAAATGGGAAATCTTGACAAAGGGTAGGCCAACCGCCCTTTTAGTTGTGCCCTGTTATGACTAATCTTACCCTTTACTTTAGCGATTGCCGAACACCAGCGTCAAGCTGACGCCATTCGGCTTCTCCAATCCCACTGCAATAACGCCACCTCAGAGAATGAGATGCTGCGCCGTGAGCTGCAAGCTATGCGCATGGAAACTGCTCAGTTACGAGGGGAGATTGGCTCCTCTGGGAACCCTCCCCAGCAGGCACCACCTCCACCGCCCTCACGGGGCTCACAGCCGCCGCCGCCAGCCTCGTACGGCAGCGACATTTACGCCAATACCAGTAGAACCGAACTGCCACCTCTACGCTCCATCCACAACGGACCCGACTCCATGACTGGGGTCCAGTACGATGCGCCTCGAGTCAACGGCTACCGACAGGAAAGATACTAGCAAGGTCAAAACCTGATGCTTTGGCCGGAGAATCTACGCTATCACACAATGACGAGGTCGATACAGAACGGCTTCCCCTGACAATTTCATATGTTACTATCCACCTTTTGCCATTGGGCAAATGACATGATTTCACGACAGGCGGGATGGATACGGCCTATACAACATCCGCCACCAGCTACCACCGGGCGACAAGCAGTAAATCCGGTGTAGTGCTTCATCATCGAACTTCTCTGAGACGTCTCAGAAGGTTTAGGCTTCGGCTTGTGTTATTAGATGCTTTGTTTTCGCACCTGTTGGCTGTTGAGGAATTTTTTTTTTTTTTCGTTTAGTTTTGGCCTGGCGGGCACTTGTACAACTATTTCCGGTGGGTGACGACCGACTTGGGCTGGTCGGAAGTTTGCGGGTTTTCTTGTAAAGGGATTTTCTCGTTCCTTACATTTTTTTTCGCACAGCTTTCATCTTCCTTGAATTTTCGGCTGCTGTCATTGTGTCGACATGAAACGACCAACATGTCCCAATTCACTGGGCAGCATCGGAGTTGCATGCAACGTCAGTGCATACGCAAAAAGCCTTGCCGGGGTTGCTGACATGCACGAAAGGTGGCGAAAGAAGACATGCATGCGAATGTGCATAAACGACTTACACAATATCGGCGCCGCAGCCCACCACGGAATTGGAATTGTTATTCTCGTTTTTCGAGTGTATGTGGCTGACGAGTTAAGACCTTGGGGTGGGAGGACAGGTCTTGATATTTCATAGTCCAGGGGTGACTGTATATACCCAATTGCTAGAGGAAACTAGATTCGGGAGGGGATGAAAGGCAGGAGGAAAAGGGCCAATCTTAGAAAGCCCATTTTGCGAAATGTTTTTTTTTTGGATTTGGTCAAGGCACAAGGATTCGGATGAGGTCAAAAATTCAGGAGCAGGCGTCGGTTGGGATGGCCCACTGGATGTGAGATAGCACGGGCCATATTCAAGGGTTAATTGACTGATTTGATACGTTACCATAAGGTATGTGCACATTGCGCTTTGCGTTTTGCCATTCTGCATTCAAGAGTGGCCGACAGAACGCAATGTATATGGTTGATGGGCTGACGAGTGGGTGATGGATTTATTGTAATGATGGCGGTGGGGAAGAGTGACGGTGGACTCAAACCCCAGCCAATATCTTCTACTTGAGTGAGTGCCTTGAGGAGGGAGAGGGCGACAAGCGACATTCTTGTACTTGGCGGCATTTGCGGTATTTCCGGCTTTCGATTGGATGCCTGTGCAAACATTGAACGGGATTGCGGCAGTATCTCCCGGCGCCATTTTGCCCCATGGGGGAGGGGCCGGGGGGCATTATCGGCAGGCTGACTCCGTGGCCGACTAGTATTCACTAATTAATTCAATAGTAACCAGCAGAGACGCAATCAATCTTTATTAATTACCCGGTACTCTGCGGTGTGGGCGGACGGCGGACTTGGGTGCGGAGTTTCGGCCCCGATTCGGACCCCGTCACTCCTCGTGGTGGCCATGTGGCCGAGGGCCCTCGGTGCGGACTTTGTGGGTTCCCGCCTGCGGACTTTGGCTGGTGGGTGACTGGGACCAAACGTCGCCAGTAGCCAGATCAGCTTGCTGCTGACAATTGCTCATCAGTCAGAGTCTGACGTTTGGAGGCGGCACGCACTAACAAAGTCTGGGCAGGGCAGTTTTAGCTTTACAGCTGGGAAGAAGTGTCCTTAAGACCGTCGGCATTGGGAACAGGGTTTTTGTCCTGGGGGGGCATGGGAGGCTGCTTTTTGCATCATTTTATCCTTCATCTTCATCTTTTTGTCCCCATTGCCCCTCTGGTGAAGTTGCGTGCAAATCGCGGCGAGTTAATGGCCGTTTGCTCAAGTCTGTTTGTAAGCTAGAGGGAAAGTACAGTGCACGACGCTTTCCGAGTTGGGATACTCGACCTGATAGGTGGGACCAGTGCCTCTGTTCACTTCATTCCCAACTTCCGACCACTTCATCTTCATCCTCATCCTCATCATCATGAACGGCACCAAACGATCATGGGATGACATGGACGACGCTGCTACTGCTGCCGCCGCCGCCGTCACCATGGACTCCTTTACAGCGACGTTTGGGAACCACAGTCATGATCACAGCACCGTCACTATCACCACAGACGGCACGCGACTCGACGACAAGGCATCCGCTGCATCACGCCAAAAGAGCTGCAATGCCTGCGTAAGAGGCAAGAGACGCTGCGACAAGCGCACGCCCCAGTGCAGCCGCTGCTCTGCCAAGGATTTGGATTGCATCTACCAGAAACTACCCCCAGGCGCATCAACAGCCGAGACGTGCTCACCCGCCGGAGCCTCCGCGGCCAACCTCACCACTTCCTCCGCCACAGAGTCCGCAAGGCCGCTGGGCTCCGTCACCAGCTCGTGCCCCGTCTCCGCGGCTGCTGCTGGAGGAGGTACAGCAGGCCCAGTTTCTGCCCCTTCTTGTGCTGGCCTTCATACCGTCTCCTCATCCTCTGCCGCCAGCTCCGCCTCCTGCGTCTCAGACGTGCCAGAGTTTGATATGGGCTTTGACATGGACAGTTTGGGCACCGATACTAGTCCTGAGAGCCTCCAAGCTGATATTGGCGTGCCACTCAGCAATTCGACCCACGGCTCTGGCGGACTTGACTTTTCTATTGTGGACTTGATGGCCCAGACTGCCGGGGAGGAACATGACATTTGGAACCTGCACTCCTTTGCCGAGACTACAACCGATAAGTTGCAAGTTCCGGCTGTGCCTACCGGCCACTGTACCATGACACCGCCCTCTATGCTTCACCAGAACTTGCAACAGCTCCAGCCCATTCGTGACCTGTCTCTCATCAAGGACGCTGACGCTGCCTGCATGGAGATTGATCCGTTGTCCGTCCATGACCCCAACACACGAATCGGTTACACAGTGAGCTTCTTGACAAGTATGCACAGCACTTTTACGCAGACGAGAGCCTTGCCCTTTATGCACCCGCGTCTGTGGGTCGGTCAACTACCCAAAGTTATCCTTGCTGCTTTTTCAGCCTCGTCGGCATATACCGCGTGCGGTCCGGCGAACAAGGGATGGACTGTTCGTCTACTGGTAGATGCGGGACGAGAGATTCATCGCGAAGGCGAGCGTGCTGTCTCCAATGAGGACAAGCTGTCGCGCGTACAAGCGTTGTTGATTCTGAACTCGATAAGAATCTTTGATGGTGATCTGGGATTGAGGGCCGCGGCGGAGAGAGAAGTTCCCGTCCTGATGTCGTGGCTCAAGGAGTTGAACAGTATTAGGGAGAATCTCGAGATGGAGGAGACTCTTGGTGGAGTAAACGCGGCTGTGCGAGAGAAGCCACCAAAGTCGTGGGAGGTATGTTTTTGTCTGATCAGATGCCGTGCCCATTACTATACTATGTCCTCTTTTACTGACTAGGCCTCTCAGAGCTGGGTATTTCTGGAGAGTTGCCGCCGCACATTGATAACCTCATACGCCATTACATGCATTTCGTGCATGCTCAAATCAGAAACTCGTGAGTGTTTCCATGTTATGCCAAATCGTCTTGGCTATTCAAAACACTGACAGCTCCTGTAGCCAACGATGACATGTGGCGTGATGATATTAGTTTCACCGCATCGCGCCACCTCTGGGATGCGCCAAACTCGGTCGAATTTTACCGTGCGTGGCGTGAAAAGCCGCAGTTTTTAATCGAGAACATGGTGTTTAAGGATTTCTGGATGTACGCTCGACCGGATGATTGTGATGATTTTACGAAGCTTATGCTTACAGCGTGAGTATATGATTCCACCTTGAGCATGACGTGTGGGCTAACGGCTTGTCAGGCAAGTCGGTATTGATGCCATGGCGCATTTTATGAATGGGGATGCTGCCATACCAGTAAATCCGGGGCGTGCGCCTTGAAATGGTTAGCAGACAAGAATCATTATCTACGTATTGCGAAGAGCAGTCCGAAAAAAGAAAAACTAAGAACGGGATTACCAATCGCAGGATCATCATGGCCGCAACAGGGGCAGCCGGAAAATGTAGCAAGACAGTCGGGGCATCGATAACTGTCGATTCGAGATCTCGTTATTGCAATGAAATTTACACGACGTACGAATCATGAAGGCGGAGAACCTAGACAGACAGGGTGGCAACGAATGATGTTGGGTACAGAACGGAGTCATACAGAAAGGCCAGGCTATGTCTATGCCTAGACCATGTAACAATATCACAATACGATACTCACTTACACTGACTCACTCACTCAATACCTACGTCGTGTCATCAGATACCCTCCAGACCAACCTCTCACCACTAACGCTCCTATTGCGCAACTCATCCAACGCCTTCTGCGCCCTTTCCACCATGTCCTTGCCCTCAATTTCCCTGTATCTATTTGGCTGAACGATGCCATGCGCAAGTAGCGTCGGTACAATCTCCGGCTGGAGATACTCCTTGAAGAATTCATTCTATCCTGCCTAGTCAGCAAAAACATCCCAACACCGAAGTATCTCCCCTCGAAAAGACGGACGAAGAGGAAGAAAAGGAAAAACATCAACGAACCTCTAGATAGAAATGCGTCCTCACCCCCCTGACCTCAACGCCCCCCTCCCACCCGCCAACCTTGGCAATATCCATCTCATACACGGGCTCCTCGGAAACACTGGCATCCCTCACAATGACGGGAAGCATGACCGCAACACGATCGCCACGCCTCGCAATCCTCTTCAGAGGCGCCAGGCTTCCCTCCCAGCTCCCTATACAATCCAGGATGAATGGCGTCCTGCCTTCGGCCAAGATCTGGTCCACCACCGCCGCCACGCCGCGCCTATAATCAAAACACTTCCGTGCCCCTAGGTCTTCCAGGTGGGCGTGATGTGATGCGCCGCTCACGGCCAGGACGTTCGCGTACCCCCAGTGGCGGAGCACCTGCACGGCGTACAAGCCCACGCTGCTGCTCGCGCCCCAGACCAGTACCGCTTCGTTGCGTCGCGGCTGTTGTTCAGCGGGCCAGGGAAGCGCGAGCCCCAGGTCCCTCGTGAGGCTGTGGAAGACGGTGCAGAGATTGACATTGACTGTGGCCGCCTGCTGCTCCGAGATGCCGATAGGGATCTTGGACGCCAGGTATGCCGCGCAGGTGATGTATTCCTGGTGGTTGGCCTCTTTGCCGCCGTGGAAGGCGAAGACGGAGACTTTGTCACCGACTTGGAGGGCGTGGACGTCTGTGCCTACGGCGACGATGGTGCCGGATGCGCCGCCCGACCCGGACTGACTGGGATACGTGGTGATGAGGAGACCGCCGTCCGCGCGATGCAGGTCCAGTGGCGTTGAGGCCGTGTAGGATACCTTGAGGGTGATTTCGGATGGCGACGGCGCGTGCACAGGTACCGTGATTTCGATGAGTGGGCTGCGGGGGGAGGCGATTGCTACTGCTTTTTGGGTGGTGGGAAGCATGTTGGTGGTGATAATGAACTCGGTGGCCTGGAAACTTTGGAAGGGCCGCCGGTGATGATGATGATGATGATGATGATGATGTGTGTTTTGCGAATAGGAAATGGGTATGACAAGTCAAACGATGTGGATTGTGCAATTTGCTTGTTTTAACAGGGCGCTGAGGCTATGAGCCACGGACTTGTCTGACTTTGATATACTTGCCACTTGTTCATCCATCCTTATTCTTCCATGCGCCCACTTCCGCAGCGTCCATCATGACAATTTGTAAGCTCAGCCCTGTAGGCGGCCGTGGAGTCGGATGCCGCCGATGGCTGCACCGCTCACGGCGTCGGATAAGCCGAGCCTCTCTATGATTTACATGTTGATTGATTTATAATGACAGTATTTCCCGTACCTTGTTCATCACATGCGCTATGCATCAAGGCTACGGAGGATAAAGAAGTAACAAGCAAACCGTTAGGCTCCACGAGTCAACGGGGTTCTACCACTAGCTATTGATAGCGCTTTCTGGTGAGCAGACGGGACGGAACTAATAATAACAAAAATGGAAGAAACTAGGAGTAAATTGAGGTTAAAAATAATTAATTGTTTATTTTACAAGGTAGGAATAGAAGTTACAGGGAGGGGGGAAGGTCTTATGAAGTAATCAACCCCAATTGCATACCAGGTATATAGGGCATAATAATCAGCCCTGCTGATAACAATAGCCCTCGTAGCACAGTGGTAGTGGTAAGTTTCTGATCATCTTCAAGTCTCTGAATTCCTCAGCTAACATGGCATAGCGCGTCACTCGTAATGACGAGGTCGTCTGTTCGATCCAGGCCGCGGGCAAATATCCTTCTTTTTTTGCGTTTTCTTTTTTGCTTGTTCGCTAGTTTATCGACCGCAGAATGCATTTTTCATTCACCAAGAATGATAATGGTCCCCATTGATGCTAGAAAATAATATTCAAATTGTTTAACTGACAACTTTTCGCCTGCTACTCGTCGACTCCTTTTGGCAAAGCTAGCCCTTCTTTTCTTCACATTACCCCTCCTTACGACGGAAAGTACAGGTCCGGGGTTCTCATATATCCTGCACAAATCAAATGCGCTATGATACAAGAGATTTCCATTTTCGCGATAGCTTCGGTTGTCTACCCAGGTATTTCCGTCTCGAGGAGTCCAATTTGTATATACCGGAGCGCATTGCTTGCATTTGGGACGTCGTAGAACATATCTGGGGTTTGCCTGTTGTTGTCCATGTCTCTGTACCACATTTTCGACTACGCAGGGTTATCTCTTTGGGGAGATGCTGTAGTTCTGAATCAGGGCGGATAAAGGAGTCTTGCCAGGTTGGCTGCTTTGAATACATCTGCAGCGGCCTTCTCCCAGCCAGGACCGCATTTTCGCATCGATGACAACCACGCGGTTCAGCATCGGATGGTCATGTAGGAAATGGCGGATGGATCAAGTGGAAAGCTGAACAAGGGAAAAGGATTTCTCCCAAGACGGCAGGAATCATTCAAATACGTAAAGTAGTAGAGAGGAAGGAGCGCTTCAGATGTAGATGCAACGGAAAGAGCCCGTTTTGCGTGTCGATGCATGACATTTTCGGCTCCATTGTAAATCTAAACTACACGGCAAACTGGACAACTTTCTTTACAGCTTGCCCTTTGTTGGCTGCGTGCTATTAATTTCAGCATACATACGGTCAATTTCTCCTCGGAATGCCCGGACCGCTTGCGCTCTCTTCAGTTTCAACCTGTATGGTATCGTCAGCGAATCGAGCACTTGGCGCAAGCAGACTTCGACAGCAATATGCTACTCACGTCGGAGTCAAAAGTTCATTGTCAACTGTAAATGGCTCAACATCAAGAAAAATGTTTGCAACATGCTCATACTTGTTGAACTTATTCTTCCTCCCAATCGTCTGCAGAATATCAAAAAGCTCTCCCTGGACCTTTGGATTTCGGGCTACTCGCTTCAAAGCGGCCACATCGTCGTTGCTAACAGGCTGACCAAGAACTTTGGCCGCAAACGGTGCAAACGTCTCTGGGTTTATACCAAAGATGCCGACCAAAGTAGACTCTTGGCTATCGCCATGTACAAATGCATTCGCAATAAGGCTGCAGTTCGCAGTGTACACATTTTCAAGACGTTCGGGTGCCACGTATTCACCTTGTGAGAGCTTCAATACGTTCTTCTTCCGATCAATAATAGTAAAACGGCCTAGTTCATCAACCATTGCGACATCGCCAGTGTGAAACCACCCGTCTGCCTCTATTGTCTTCTTGTTCTCTTCCTCGTTCTTGTAGTAGCCCTTAAACAAGATTGGGCCACGTACCAAGATCTCCCCGCGCGGATATGGCTTGTCGTCAACACTGTACTGTAATTCAGGGATAGACTCCAAACAGATCTCAGCAACCGGGCTAGGAGGACCGACATGACCAGTGTCAAAGTCTCCAGCCAGTGGCACTGTCACGGCTCCTGCGGTTTCCGTCATACCGTAGGCCTGGGCGAGCCTCACTCCGAACATGGCCGAGAGGAACTCTTGAACCTTGGGGTCGAGTGGCGCGCTGCCGCTGGCAAGCTGAATTGCCCGGCCAAGACCAACCTTTTCCCTAATTTTTGGTGTGAAAATGCGGTCCCACAGCCAATGCTGAACAGTGGCTTGACCGATAGGGAGCTTCATGGAAGCCACTTTTGTCTCTAGGATTCGTTTGGACAAAGTTCCTCTGAATCCTTCAGCTTCAACCGTACCAGCTCTAATGGCACTGTTAAAGCGGTTGAACAGACGAGGCACAGACACAAAGCCTGTGGGCTGGAGAATGAGCATATCGTCTACTAGTCCCAAGATATCTCCTCGGAAGAAGCCACAACTCGCACCTTCAGCAAACCTGGCATGCTCAACCAATCTTTCCATGATATGAGCCAATGGTAGGTACGAAATCCCGACATCGTCGCTTGAGGTTTTTGCTCCAATGCGAGTTGCGGTGTTACCTGCAAGTGTTGCAGCGTGGGTAAGGAGGACGCCCTTTGGATGACCGGTTGTGCCAGAAGTATAGTTGATGGTGTAGAGGTCCTCGGGACCAACAGGGCGCATGGGACGACCGGACTCGAGACCGATTTTCTCCACCTCGCTCATTGAGAAAATCTGAATACCAAAGTCTGACGCAACAACGTTCAGAGCATCTCGCTTCGAGTAACCCTCCATTTCTCCATTTTCAAGTTGATCAAGAGATATGATTAGTTTGAGACGAGGAATTCGAGGTGCAAGCTTCAGAAGTGTTGGTATATGCGGGAGGGAGCAGACCACACAAGCGAGCTCGGCATGATTGATAATGTATTCGGTGGCATTTGGACCCAAGGTTTCGTAAACAGAGACGGCAAAGAGGCCTTGCGACATGCAGGCAAGGTCTGCAACCATGCAACTGTCAGTAATACATCGACCTTCGCAAAATTCCCCTTAGATATGTATGGGCTTACCGGTTATCTGCCATTCCGGTCTATTTTGGCACCAAAGTCCAATCCCATACTTGTCCTGAGGGTGATTGATCCGATGGTGAAGTTCCACAAGGCCAGCTCCAAAGTTTTTGCGACGTTCAGCAACTTTGCTGTAAGAAATCCACGAATACCTATTATCCCATGATTGCGTCTCTGGAAGCCATTTACGAACACCCATACAGTTATTGTCGGGAACCCGTCGAGCTGACTCGTCAAATAGGGCGTGCATGGTTCTTATTTCAGGATCTAGCGTGCTAATCAAAGGCTTGTCTTTTACTTGCCAATGTCTGTAAACAGGAGTCCTTCCCAGTCTTTCGGTCCCCGGGATTGCAACTCCATGAGGTTTTCCAGGAGGGGGGGGCTGGTTAAGCCTCTGCCCCAAAAGACCAGCAGCAGATACAACCATGTTGGAAAGACCAGGGGCTTATCAGTGTATGGCATGTATGTTTTGTATAAATCGCGGGTTATTCTTAGTCGTCAAAGTCAGGACAAGCAAGTAGCGCGTTGCTTAGGTGTGTCATTCGTTGCAGAAACTCCCCTTAGTGCAAAGACGCATTACCGAGGGTGTCTATCCGAAAGAAGCTTGTTCAATTGAAGAAAATAGAATGGCGAGGGTTAATCAGACTAGCAGAACAGAGCTCTAGTTCCCCAATATCTGAATGCACCTCGATCATTATGTCGGTGCAGGCAGTTATGTAGGGAGTTTGCCTTACCCACTAATGCCAGGAACCGGGCGTCGGCGAAACACTCCCGCCAGTATTTCTGGCCCAAATGATGGCTTTCCATGCTTGTGATATGCGGGGATTCGGCCGAGCAGTGAGTGAGGTGTCGTGTATGTATGGAGCTGAGTTCAGGCTGTGTTTTTTGTATGGAGTAGTTAGTGCAGAAGTGCTTTGTTAAAAGGTGGAGCTGTACATAATAATATGGCTTGTGGTCGGGGTAGCAAACGGGCCGCCACTCCGCAACATACATAGCTCCTGCCGTCCACTACTCCTCGGCCCCTCACCCGACCCCGCGTTTAGCCAAGTCAAGGCGCCGTAGCCGAGGCAGGTGCTACCGAGGCAGCCCGCCGTGCCTCGTAAGCCAGGCCGTTTCTGCAGCTTACTGCGACTGGCCAGGACCAGTTGACATCCCAAGTTACGTACAACATTGAAGGTTCAATGTACCAACATGGAAGCTCATCCCTGAGCGTAGCAGCCTACAGCCTCCAATCGTCGTAATGCCCGTATTAGTGGCTATAGAGCGTCTCACTTTGTGTTTCATGTTTCATACTCGGCTGCTTGTCTTTGCTCCCGCCCCGATTTGGACGTCTTCAGGCAAGAGGGACCAATCGCCTCTCGCCTGGATCTCGTTGTCTCATAGCCAGGTGGCGTCGTTCTCGATTAGCAGCGCAGGTATTGTCAACCAGTTCCCGGACACACCATGATGACGGCCGCCGATCTAACTCTAGCTATTAAGTTACCTAGATAAGTGCCTAAGTAGTTGGTAGAGCACATGATACTTCCCGGACTCTGCCGCCATCGATTTTCACGACTACCAACGTTTATCTCGACCGCACATCTCGCAGGCACGTTTGTCGACAGCTTGCCTGGGGACGCAGCAGAAACATGCCAGGTCGGGTGATTTCGAAAGCCGGTTTTCATAACAGAATAGCATTGCGTTTCCTGTGCTACAACGTATCACCAACACAAAAATTTCACCAAAGGTGTCATGTCTAAGCAGTCAAGGCTGATTGTCCTGTATTCGACAGATGTAGGCATCATATAACAGCATACCACACACCTCAAACGGGGAACTCCAAGGCATGTAAACTGTCACTCTTTTGCCGAAGAATATGTGCTTGCATCATGGACGCAAACACATTGCTTCGGCTCCTTGCTCGGACATCCAGTCCCCAACATACGATTGGTACCTTGGGAACAACATCATACAGAGAAACAGAGAACTCAAGCGCATACCATAAATGGTAACTAAAACACCTACACCGGCAAACACTGATTGGAAATATATACCCATCCAGAACGCATCTCATTTACTAAAGCCAGGAAGTTCTGTTGTCCTATCATCTATCCCGCCAAGGTCAACGCCCAACTCGAACCCATCCAGTTGGAACAATGTCATTTCTTAGCTACCAGTCAGTCATATAGCAAGGGGACATGCCAGCAAGGGACCCCGCCGGCGAGTTAATCTGAGATTGTCCAGCTGCAAACGAGCCGAACCAAATCTCGCATCAGTCGCAAATCCAAACAATGCACCATTAGTTTTCCCCATCCACTCTACACCTTGGCAACTGCAAAGGTCGTTTCCAATCCCCGTCAGTCGACATGCTCAAAACTTGGGCGGCTTAATGACCTCTGTCAAGAACCCCGGATCCCCAAAATTCGACGTATGCTTCCCTTCCCTCGCATCCTGCCGCGAAGTGGGCGGCTTGCCCAAGTCGGACACTACATCCCTCGCCTTCTGGCGCAGACCGCGGCGAGGCTCGACGCCACTGTCCAGAAGGGGTTCTTTGGTGTAGGAGGCCGTAGTCGAGACAGTGTAGGTGGACGATGCGTCCGAATCGGCGGAGCTGGTGGATTGCCGCCGCATCGTCCTGTAGGGTGTGGGCATGGAGTAGGGTTCAGCAGTTAGCAAGGGTTATTTATTAACAGGGCGATGAGTGGGCAGATCTCGCGCTGCTAACAAGAAGTAAAAAAGACAGCACTTGAATTGACAGGGTTGGGGCTCGTCCTTGGCATGTGCCGTCAATCGTCTCCCACGGCGCGCAGAATAATTTGTGCCGCGTAGAAAAGGCGAGGATGCGAGTGAGACGAGGGGGGGAAAGGACAACAACAACAAAAGAAAGCAAGGTGCCCATAGAGTGAGCGACATCCTGATTACCCGGTTTTGACTCGTGATCCCAACTAGCGAGCCAACATGATGAGCATCGCGGCGCACCTTCTAACGCCATTCCCAATGGGCGCTGGATTAGAACGCCACATGCTGCCGCGTTCGATAGGTGCACGGCCAGATTGCCAGGGTCCCTGTCTGTTGTATCATTTTCACTTGGAATACGCTGGCTTGTTTGGCCGAAAAAGCCTCTGAGAGTGAGCAGACTGCGTTGCAATTATACTGTCCGTGACTGACTGTGCTGTCGGTGAGTTGCAGAATGTCCCGTGGGGACTGTTTCGACATCGTGATGATGATGCCTCCATGCCTTTTCTTGGCCCCGGAATCTTACATCCACCCGTTTCTATGGAGTAGGTCGCGAACGACGTCGCAATTTGCCTTGACAAATGGAGTGGGACGAGACATTGAGTCTCGCAATACTAAGTCCCGGCAAAACGGCCATACACCTTCGTCCATATACTTTCATACCATCGCATTTGTACAACTGCTGCGGAGTGCTCATAAGCACCATTTGACAACGACGAGCGATCCCATCAAGAGCCGTGTGTTGTGGCCGTCACACATAGACCGGAGACTACGCAAGACCCCGTCCAAGAAAAAGCAGCCTGTGGCGCGCCTCGCTGCTAGGATATGCCCGGCAACACGTCCGTATCAGGAAGGCTGATAACAAAGATGCATAGGTGCAAGTGACGTCGTGCCTTGTGCGATGCGATACGGAGTAGCGTGCTTGAAATCGTATGGTAACTTATGGCGTCCAGGAGACTTTTTTTTTTCTCTTGAAACGCGTGCCCGGCGTGACTGGGCGTCGGTAATTGTGTGGAAATTGCGACATGGCGACGACCATATTTCGAAACAATCCTCTAGGAGTAAGGATACTGTTGATCTTTTTATAAGCCATCTTGAAACTGGTATTTACGGCGTTGTCCATACTAGACCTCCCTCTCATCCCCCTTACCCTGCCCCCCCAACAAGGTAAAACAAAAATATGAAATGAAATGAAAAGGAAAAAAAAAAGAAGCCCTTGTCATTTGATATTTGTGCAGGCGCCAAAAACTCCGCGTACCCAATGCAGCCATCACCGGGGAAGTGTTACACTAGAACGTGGGACAATTGGAGCCCCTTTGAAACGTGCCACGTCTCCCGACCACTTTAATACTAATAATACTAGAACAAGCATGAAGCGAAGAGGTAGCGTTGTGCAAAATGGGGGTTTACTACTTGATCTCGTCTGGTGCGAATCGTTCAGACACCTTGACGCGCTTGTTGCCAAGAATCTTGATCTTGTCGGCCAGCTTGTTCTGCTTGTCGAGTTCAACAATGTCGTCGCCGCCGCCGATGCTGACGCCATTGACGAGAACGTTGGGCACCGTCTTGCGACCAGTCTTGTCGAGCAGGACGTCTTGCAGGGACGCGCCTTGGTCGTGTATGTCGAGTTCGACTACGTATGGCACGGGGGTGATGTTGTATTTGTCGAGGAGGATGCCCTTGGCTGTCTGGGAGCAGCGGCAGTACGACTTGGAGAAGATGACGACTAGTAGCTTGGTTAGAAGCGATTTTCCTCATCTTTTGCTTTCCCCTCTTCAGCGTAAACATTGTAAAGTATCTTCTTACCTGGTGCCATTTTCAAAATACTACTCAACTTGTCTTCCGCATCACTCTCCTTCTTTGTGTCCTTGGGCTTCGGCTTCGGCTTGGTCTTGTCTGTCGTCTTGTCTGCATCGCCTGCCACGCCCTTGTCGGCGGCCGCACTCTTGTCCTTCTTGGGCTGGCCCTCCGCTGAATTGCCCTTGCCCACAATCTCACTCGGGATGTCGGGCTTCAGCCCCCCCTTTATATTGGCCTTGTCTTTGGCGTCCTGCTCAGCCTGTTTTAGGCGCAGCTGCATTTCGGCGGTGATTTTTCTGTCGTCTTCGTCAACGTCGCCGTCGGCGTCCTTGTCTGCGGGAATATGGCCCGCCTTCTCCCCCGTTTTGGTGTTTATTATAGCTTGCCCCGGCGGGGATCCCTTCTTCATTCCGTCCATGGTTTTGTGGTAAAAGTCTTGGATCGTGCGCGAGTCCTGACTGGGGTCGACGCGGGACGAATAGAATAGAAAAAATACGACGGTAGCGATGGCCGCCAAGGCGAGCAGACGTACCCGTCGTGGGGAAGGCATATTGTGATTATGGAGAGGATATCTATGGGGGTTTGCGGACGAGTAAACAACAAGACTTTTATTAAATGCTCGATCAGCAAGAGAGCCCCGCTGGTCAGAACTTCGTTATAACTGCGGTGGCGTGCAGGTTGCCTTGGCAGCTAGTGGTGTCCCCGCGTCGCGGCTCTGTCGAGTCGTTGTTTGGGAAATGTTTGACGTCGACGACTTCTGGATGAGCAACTTGGAGTTGTGTTGCGTCAATGATCAGAGTCGCGTGGGTGAATTCGTGGAAAATGGTCATGTATGTACCTTGGCGGAGGGTCTCAGGAGACATGCGAGCATGCGAACATGGCTCTACTCTCTGGTCTGTACGGAGGAGTATGGAGTACCAGGCATGGACGGAATAAGCTTGCTGGAGCTGTGGCAGGTGGGCATTATCCCAGGTGGTGAGAGTGGTCAAGGCTCTCCGGACTGTGTGATTGGTCACTGCCACTGCATGTGGGGTCAGGTATGCCGTTCCCACCGTCGCACCTCGGGATGTCCCAGCGCCAGCTCATGCGCACGTGGCATCTTCTCTCGGGCATCACAATCACCCAGCCATCACGCAGCTCACTTCAATAGTATCTCATTTCATCAGAACCGCTGGAGCCAAAGTTTAAAGACACTTCAAACTGAATACTATTATCATTATACAAAACATCCGACTTTCCACCGCATACCTCGCACCTGGAGTGCAGTCAGCCGTTCGTTCACTTCCACAGTCATGACTCATGTCGACCCTTGATAATCATCAGCGCCTAATAATTCTAGCATCCCTTTTCGACTGCGAGTTAATATGTTCATCGACCTGTTGCCTTGCCTCTTTGTGCTATGCCCGGGAGAAAGTCCGTGTCGTAAGGAAGACACACAAAAAAAAAGAAGACGACAAAAGGAAACAAAAGGTGGTGCAGCTAAAAGTCCTAAAATCGCTTCCTCACCCATTCTGGCCGAGACTCGTTATGCAAATGCGTCAGAGTAGACACTCTGGGCACTTCTCCTTTCTCCCTTATGCGTCGATTTCGGCGGATTCATATGTGCTGATGCGGCGTGACCGTGACCTTTGTGTCTGTCTAGCCGCTTCAAATGAAAATCTTGATGTGAATATGAGTAGCGTTCGGTGGTTGGCGCTGCATTTATGCCAAAGGCCAGAGCGATTAGAATGATGATGGACAGCATCTTGTGCGACCCCGGTGGTAAATACGCAGAGCGCCGTAGCATCTGGGGGAAGTCAATTATTAGTCCGGGTCAAGGGATTTTGAGGGCCAAAGTTATATTAATGCAGATGGTTTGAAGTATGAATGCCGCCCTGATCCACGAGCTTGGTGAAGGCAACCAACGATTTATATCCATCTCTCAACGTCACCCAACCCCTTCTCCGAATGGAAGTGACGACATGGAAACCACTAGTCAGGCCTAACTTGACATCTTCCAATTTCACGATACTGTTCTTCACCAGGGATGAAAACTAGCTTCTGGCTAGTTGAACTTCGCGAACCCCGTGTAAAGAGATTCATCGCAATTGTGCCCCCCATTGGTATGCAACTGGCCACGATGACCCCGCCACCGTGGAATGGAGGGGAGGGCTAGCACCAAGAAAATCTGCAAAGCTCTCCGTATCTCAGATTTTGGCGTTCAGATAGTCAAGAGGCGTCGTTGTTGATTTCTTTGGACCTGGCATGACTAGTGTTCTGAGATGCATTGTCGGCTGTGGTTGTTATAGTTGGGAGCCGGGCCAGAGAGCGTGCAGGTGACGGCCTGACTATGACTAAGCAGCTTAGCTGGCTGTCAGCCAATGAAAAGTGGACAGCCTGGTGCCTGTAGTAGCCACTCTGGCGAGTTTCGCGATGGCGCTTTCTACCAAGTTCGATGTCCGACTATGATGTCCGAATATCCACATTTACAAATGCAGTTCGTTGTATGTGTCCTTTTCTATATTTGACTCATCCGTTATGTACAACGGGTGCCTGTTCATTGCCGCTGTCGTGTATTTATTCCTTGGATTGTTTCAACAGAGTCGGCTGGCCGATGCATCATTCTCCGTCGATATACCACATCGACGACAACCTTAGAGTAGGTCGGAGCAGATCATTGTCTATGAGCACACCTACAACACACTCTGGGAGACCTAGCCACACATTTTCCTCGGGACCGAAATGCCTGGGTCACGCTCAAAGCCCAATCATCTGCCCATGATGCTAGCCATGGTGGTCGGCCTCATCCTCTGCATTTTCTCAGCGCCCTCAATAGCTCACGACTCAAATTCTTCCAATGCCCCCAAGCCAGATCTCATTTGTCACACATCCAACCCCGACGAATGTTACCCACGGGTATTCCAACCTACAGAGGAATTCCAAATTGTCCACGACGATCAAGAACTGCCCAATGGGCTCCACGTCCGCTTAAACATCTGGACAGGTCAAAAAGAGGCCAAGATCAATGTCCCTGGCGAGGCCGATCCTTCTCTAGAAGGGTTGCCTGTTGACCAAGCCGTGGTCATGGTCGACCCTGAGGAACAGCGAGACGGTCCTAAAATCCCAAAAGGCGCTCCAGAATATGAGCCTGTTGGAAAAGTCATGGGACCGGAGCATGAATCCGCCGCACTTGCCGAGGGACTGAACATGCTCAAGAGCGGAATCAGCAAAAGCGGCCAAGCATTTGATGATGCCCTAGAGACGCTGGAGGATCTTTCCCACGACATGTACTATGGTTTGAAAATTGCCCAGGATACAGAGGCCATTGAAGCGCTGCTGTGCCTGATGTGTGGTCAGAGTGCTCCAACTACCGATGGAGCTGATCCTCACGACCAGCAAGCTGCCTCCATTTTGGCTGGAGTGTTTCAGAACAATCCAGCCGCCCTCAAGGAAGTGACCGCTTTCTGGCCGCAGCTACTCGTCGAATCCAGGTGCCCCAACACTGGTAAATCTCTGCACCTGAGGCTCTATTCCAGTGTTGAACCATCACGGAATGGAGACGGCGCAAATGCCCAGCAGGCAGCTGCCCGGGTCAAGTCCAAAGTTGCTGTGATCAATGGACTTATCAAAGACGGTTCTATTCGAAAACACTTCCTCAGAGAAGGAGGCATGGAATCGTTATTGAAGGTGCTCATTCCCGAGGATAAGGCATGGGCTCGTGCTCAACGAAAAGTCGGGCAGCTTGTGTTAGATAACTTCTTGGATGAAAACATGGGTGCGGCCTTGGGGGAGTGGCCCTATCTACCCAAGCTAGGTGATGAAATATGCCAGACGGAAGATTCTGGGACGGCCGAGGGATGCTGGGACTATCATGTCGCGAGGATCATGAAGTCATCAAGCGAGGCCAGTGAGGAGGAGGAGGACTGGAGTCGGCAGTTGATAGACCGATTGGTGGCGGCGAGGAAAGAGAAAAATAATGAGAGAAAGCATGAGGAGCTGTAGAAGCGTAAATGTACAATTACATAGCTACCTAGGTGCTCGGTAGTCATATGGCATCTGAACTAATAATATATATACCCATCGCTGGCCAGCCCACACAACCATTTCGTCGCAGCTGTCATCCATCCATCTCTACTTTGGAGCTTTTCCCCCAAAACTTTATACAGCTGAAATCACTTCACGCCACATTTACTATCATGCCGAGAGAATAAGGCGGCATCCGTGTTGTGGTCAGAATTCCCCCACGGCCATCCTCCATCAACCCTGCACAAACAACCCCAAAATTTTCCGTGGCCAAATCCACCACCATCAAACCACAGCCCGATACCATCTCCAACACACATCACGAAAAACAAAGATGCCGCCTATTGAAACCCGCCCCCATCCTTCCAAACACCGCGCCCTCCACGCCACGCAGCCCTTCAGACCCTCCCAGACAATCCACACCTTCCACCCACTCATCTTACACCCATCGCTCTCGCATCTCGCATCCGTATGCACGCATTGCCTCCGTCCCGGCTCGCCGCGCGCGTGTTCCCGCTGTCACGCCGCATACTACTGCAACACCAGCTGCCAGCAAGCCGCCTGGACGGCCGTCCACTCCAAAGAATGCAAGGCCCTCCAACAACGCAAGCTGGGTTCCCGAACAGGCGCCGACCTGCCCACCCCCGTCAGAGCACTTCTCCAAACCCTTCTCATCAAGGAAATTGAAGACGGGGTCGCCGCGCTGGATGGACACACCGAGGAGAGGAGGAAGACCAAGAGCTGGCCCGACTTGGAGATGATGGCATTGGCGGCGTGTGCCTTTGCCGGGAGACAAGGGGAGAGCAACGTCCGCAAGGCAGTCGAGCTGCTTTGCAAGGTACAGCATACATGTTCCCCCGCCTTTCGACAGTAGTTTTTTTTTTTTTTTTTCCATTTCAAACGTACCTGACAATCCGCAGATCCAGACGAATGCGTTTCACAGATGGGACGTGGACCTAGGCCAGGTAGGCGTGTTTCTGGAACCGACGCTCGCAATGGCCAACCACTCGTGCGTGCCCAACGCCGTGGTGCAGTTTGTAGGCCGCAAGGCGATACTGAGGGCTGAGAGGCCGATCCAGGCCGGCGACGAGATTGAAATATCCTACACGGGTGCGCTCCGAACCTCTCCCCCCTTCCCAGGGGCAAACAGGGCCCGTTAACACGCCGCGTAGATTACACGATGCCCCTGTCCGCACGCAGGGAGGCGCTCGAGCAGTATAGCTTCGAATGCACATGCGCCAGGTGCAAGGGCGACTTGAACGTGTACCAGGTCCGCACAGCCTGCCCAAACACGTACAGCGTGGCGGACGTATCCGGCGACGGGCATCCCGCCCTCACAGACAAGGCCGCGCAGGACGCGGCGGCGAGATACACCACGGAACCAGCCCGGCTGCCGGACTCGCTGCCCGCCCGCTACGCGGCTCTCAGGGCACAATACCGCCTTTGTCGGAAGCTCGTCGACGCCAATCTGTGGGCCGTGTCGCCCGTGCCGCAACTCCTCGCCGAAACGGCAATCTACTTTTCCGAGAAGGACAACTTCCCGTACGCGGTGGCCGTGACGGCATTGATGGCGACGTCTTGCGACCCGTTCCGCTACCCTGCGCCGTTTCACCCTGTCCGCTTAAAGAATCTCTTCATGATGGCCAAGTTGCTAGCTAATACTGCCGAGAGCACGGGGAATGCCGTGGCGGCGTCGGCAGGTGGACTGGACCAGAAACTCCAGGACACGCTGTCGAATATAGATCAGGTTTCTCTGTGTCAGATGCTACTCATTATGGTTATCAAGATGTGTCCCGGGGAGCTGGCGGATTGGGAGCTGAGCGTTTCGGCGAGGGAGATGCTTGCTGATATTGTAAAGTTGCCGGGACGAGAGAAGGAGTCATCGCTGATAAATGGGTGGGCAGCAGACGCGGACGCCGAGGAGTCGAGATTATTTTTTGAGTATGCGGTGGTCAGGCAGGTTGGTGTCTTGGCCGGGATCGGGAGGGAGGTGGTGAGGTTTATGAGCGAGTCTGAGTAGGTAACAACTGCCTCCTGATTAGGCTGATTTACAAGCGATAAGTCACCAGATTTGCATTCAAATGATTCAGTCTGTAAGGGTGATGGAATCTATCTCTGGTGTCTGTTACATCAAAACCCCAAGGTGGCATTGTTATCAGTCTTAAGAGTAAGGCTCGAGCCCATCACGGACCTTCCTATCCATCCCTCCAGATTTCTGGACATAGGGTTCTTCGTTGTTTTACGTTATTGCCAAGCGTATTCAACAGGAAACATGGGCGTCTCAATGACTGTGATAATCTTTCGCACTGTCGGGGGTGTCCGCACATCCAAAGGGTAGGTACCAGCAGTGTACAAGCTGCGCAGCACCTTTGCGTCTGGTACATGGCCTTTCATAAAGTCCAAGTTGTAGTAATCTAATTGGACAATGTACCGAAGATTTTGTATCGTAAAATTTCGACGTCGGACTTGGGATGTCGTCAGTCGCGTCAGTCAAACCGTCAGAGCCAAAGCACGACAATCATCAGATCACCGTGCAGCAATTTTTCGGGTTGAATTTTTCAAATCATTATCGACAGGTAAAACGACGTCGAGTTCCCCTTGCAGTGTACATAGATAACATGTATCAACTTCAACAAGCCCAGCTCAATGCCTACGCCACAGGAACTAGTGGCCCATGCCACCCATCACCGACGGATGCTCTATTGCGGAGAGAGCACAGCTGGTCCTGTCATTGCAGCACCGATGCTGTGGGGACTGCTTACCTCGCCAGATACGAGGCTGGAAAACTGCCATCAAGCCAACATATCATGCAAAGTGCGATCCTGTATTCACCATGTCGTGTGGCTGCCGCATATTTGTCTCACCCTGCAGACCGGCCATGCGATGGGAAGCCCATGGTCATGGCCAACCCCTCTATGTGTCTTGGCATTACTCCAGACGATTATCGTAGAACCCAATGCCTGGAAAGCGACAAGTTTGCACAGCAAACAAGAAACGGAAGGTAAAAAGTCTCCAACTTTTGATGGCTGCCGAGTCCAGGCCGCTGCAGACCTAAGGCGTCGTTTGTCACACACGGAGCTGTCCGCGTCATTCTGAAGGCAGGGCAGGTTGTGCGCTGCTCGGGTGTTGGCGACTCTAATTCGACAACAAAACATACTCAGGGCCAGCCCAGTTAGTCGCTGACGGGTGGTTTATGGGGTTTTCCCATCACCCCATCCGTGACAATGTAATGTGTAAGCGATCTGCACTGTACGGCTGGTTGATCGTGGCGGCCTCCAGGGCCACTCGCCACTCAGGCTCGCTTTCCTCTCTCCACTCAGGCATCGTACATACATGGAGGTTCCCGTGGTCAATTGGCGTTCCTTATTGGCCTGTCTAGCTCCAGATGCCCCAGGCCAGGAACCTGACCTTGCTCTGGAGCCGACATTGCCGAATTGAGTCCTTGGCGTCATCAGTCGATATCTACTAGGTTCCAGGTAGATGCGCTCCCCACTGACATGCAAACGCTTTGTAGGCGAAGCAGTTTCAAAAGTGTCGCCAGACGTCACCATCGAGTTCTCTGCGATAGATCCAGTTGTGAGGCACTGTTCGCGAGCCGCCGCCTCAAGCGAAAGCATTATTCCGCTCACGAATATCCTCGAGCCCCAGGGCCAAGACGACACAGCTTAAAAACATGCCAATCCGGACGGGGCAACAAAGATTTTGTGGTGCTGCCGACCCATTGGACTGTGTGCAACCAGGCGAAAGGCATTAGAGAGCATGGGATGCTGCGTTCCCTCCGCCCTTGCGTCACGTCGGCGATATTAGCCGCTTGCGTGCGATTGTTTGAGCATCCAGCTTGCGGTTCGCAGGATGCCACACAGACGTTTACACAATAACAATGCGTCGGGCCTGCTTGGTTTGCCCCCTCAGCATTGGCCATTGTGCATGCCAGTGAGGCGGACCACCGATATCACGGGCGCGCCTGTATCAATCCGGCAGTAAGCTTGGATACCAGCCTCATCGTCGGTCTCTCGGAGGTCAATTACGGCACTTGTGGTCGACATTGGAGAGTCAGTCATCAGTTGAGCACAGATTGCGGTACAAATAGATGACACCAACGACGAAAGTGAGCCTTGTCACATGAATTGCGAAGAGATGGGGTGGCCGGATTGAAACCTCGCTGACCAGCCCCCAGCAACACAGCGGGGCCGTATTAATATTTGAATGGCATGCACGCTCATCGTCATCCCTCACGACAACTGGCCCAAAGGCATGGGTGTCACGATGCCTAGCGAGTGACGAGACATCCCGGCATAATGTCCCTGAACCAGAATCTGATTCATCAGGCCTAGTCGATGAATCGGTCACTCCCAGTATCTGCTTCACCATGACGGCTAAACCTGGGCCGTTCCAGCCGGAGCCGTGCCCACAAGCCTGCCACGATGCATGTCTGTGGTAAACAAGCCTGGCGGCGGGTACGGGTACCCTGGCAACTGGCAACCACCTGACGTCGGGCTGCTCGTAGCCAAGTTTCTCTGCTTGTTGAGAGCAGGCAATTGTTGCATTTGACCAATTTTGTTGCCCGTGGATGTAGTCGGAACGGAGTAGAAAGATAGAGGAGCCGCTACGGTACGACAGCATCAGGAGGCAATAATATAATATAATAAATAATTCAACAGGTGGCCGCTGCCCTTGTTCATGCCGGCCGTTCGCTGCCCGTGTCGTCGTCTTATTGAGTCTCAGTGCGTCTCGTTACGTCTTGCCAGGGCATGGGTGTGGCTCTCTCCAGAGACTTAGCGCCACGCCGAGACTTACTCGCCACCAACCCAGGCGGGCCGAGTGCAGGTCTTTTGTTGGGTGGTCGTAACCATCAAATTTTGTAGGCGAAAAGGCGTGGGTGATGTGGTTGACCATGATGTTGGAGGAAGCTGGCAAGCTGCGCGCGAATGGCTGGGCAGGAAGGGGGAGTAGGAGGAGGGATGGAAGGATGGAAGGAAGCAGGGGAGAAAGTTGACATAATACGAAGTACAGAGTACCTTAAGAGTAGGAAAGGGTGGTTGAGTGCCTCGTGGTGACGCCAATGCCGATGCCGATAACAATGCTTCATGTTGATGGCGACGCTGGCACTGCTTGCTAATGTCTGCCAAGCCGCGCATGGAGCTGGCCAGACCGATGGCGGACCATCAAGGCATGCCCCATTTCTGTTGGTTGAAATTGCAATGGTCCGGCCAAGGCCTGTTGCCCTTGCTGTTATCGGCCGGTGCTCTGTTAGCTCCAATCTAGCTTCCCGCTTGCTTCGTGCCTTGCTTCGTGCCTTGGAGTGAGGTGTGATCAATTGATGTGTGTGAGGTGTGTGTGAGAACAGAAGCCCACCGAGCACCTGCCGGCTTTGCTTTTTTTTTTTTTTTTTTTTTTTTTTTTTTTTTTTTTTTTTTTTTTTTTTTTTTTTTTTTTTTTTTTTTTATATTTCTCGTTGCCCCCATCTCAGGCTGCCTTTCTCGGCCTCTCTCCTCTTTTATTCTTCTTCTCGCCACCACTCAATAATTGCATCCCAGCATCTTCAAGCTATACGCTAACCCAAGTGAAACTGCATTGCCGCCTCTGAAGCTCTACTCGCATTTGTAGAACTGCTTGTCCTTGACAGCACGCCTGTTTTGTTTTCCTACACGCCAGCTCCCAGCTGCCAACTCCCAACCCCAGCTCCCAGCTTTCTCGGCTTCTCGGCTCTCGACAAGCTCGAATAGCCCAAAACTTCAACCGCCACTACACACCTCACACATCGCGTGTCCGATTGCAATGCGCTTCTCTACAGCCTTCGCCGCCTTGGCTATTGCCTCGGCCCAGGCCCAGACCCCAACCACCAACTACAACTACACCAGCGAGCTAGATATGACAATTGATCCCAACACTGTCATCCCGACTCTACGAGGCAAGTATTCTTCTCGCCCTTCCTACCTAGGTATTTGGGCTGTGTTAGGTGGTCAAACGCCTGCAGCTTTAAATTGCGCATGCCTGCTCACGACGCATCGCTAACACCATGACTCCTGCAGCCACTTGGTGCCAGGGCCAGATAAACACTTGCCGCCTCCTCTGCAATGACGACGCTTCAGTGAACGACTGCACAGTGGTATGTCTATTTTCTTGCGAGTACTCACAAAATTGGATCGCTGGCGGCTTTGCCATCCTTGGAATTGACTTTTGCTGATGACTGCCACAGTCGACCCTGAAGTGGAACTGCACTTGCACCTCGAACAGCTCGACCCCCGGTATTCAGTACTACCAGCAGACCATGCCATTCTACATTTGCCAGGAGCTGTTCTCGCAGTGTATCACCACCAATGCTGGTAACGCCCAGGGTCAGGACAATTGCAACAACAAGATTAAGCCTCTCTGCGCCAAACTCGACCCCCCTAAGAGCCCTGTTGCAGACAGTGGCAGCGGCGATGGCTCCTCTTCCACCGCCACCACAGGAGGTTCC